TTTGTCTTCGATCCGGGCTGGACTCAGGACTGGATTGGACGGGTTGGGCCTAAGCGTGACCCAGACAAAAAATCAATAAGAAAATGTTTAAGTAGCCTAATAAGCTGCTTTGATATCCGTGCCACTTTTAGAAGGAGTACCGGAGCAGTTCTCAATATAATATAAGAGGATCGTCTGCGGGTAAAAGAAGAAGATACTGATCGAGATCGAGTTGCTGGCCGGTATACTACAACAAGTCTACTACTACTTGCATACATGAGGCTAAAGTCCTGTTTGGATGAATTTTGGATTCTTAAAAACCAGTTTTTACCTCTAGTTTGTAAAACCTAGATTGGGTATTTAGATTCTCTAGTTTTTAAGAAGCTGACTTCATTTATTACTCTATGGTAAAAAAAAACTAGCAAAAGTTATGTATCACCACCTTCCTGGTTTTTTTAAATCTAACCAAAACTAGCAGCAAAAACTTATCTGTTTGGATCACACCAAATTTCTAAAAGCCATATTCTTAAAAAAAAATTGTAAAAACTAGAGTGATCCAAACCGGGCCTAAGATGCTGCATGGGTGATGGGGATTAATCCGGCGGCCGGCGGCGAGAGAAACCTAGGCATGCAGAGGCATAACTCCGACAGAGTCCGATGTCGGACCGGCCGGCGGTGGCGATGAATAGTATAATGAGCTTGCTTGTCCCAGCTGTCGATCCGGCAGGGCAAGTGTGGCCTCACAACTTGGTACAGAGGATCAGAGGATATGGCAGCTCCGGCATCTCTCACTTAATTGCTGGTGCCTGCCTGCCTGCCTTCGAGATCCAGAACCAGCAGAGCTCTGTTTACAACTTCCTCTCATATAGTAGAAAATAAATATAATGCCGATTAGTCAGTCCTAATGAAAGTTTTGATGTGATAGTCTCCATAACTATGTTATGGATCTCCCATGCCAATTGAGACTGACCTTAACATATCAACACATGCTAGTAAGTTAATGAGGCCATTTTTGGGTGAAGAGTTTCATATACAGCGCTGTTTCTAAGAATATAGAATAATACAATGAAACATGTATGGATGAAACAATAACTTTCGATGTGTAGTTATTTCATTCTTTTGTTTCATAGATATTTAATTCTATGACTCATCCTTATAAATACTCATGTGACAACCTATTCAATACATACGAAACTTTGGAATGAAAACCACTACCTCTGAGATACTGGCCAAAATATGACACTTAGACTAGAGTAATAAAATACCTTAAAATAAAAAAAATTTATCTACTCTAAAATGCATGTGTCATTATAAATTTAACAACATCAATCAACTAGAGATTTTATGTAGGTTGTCGTTAAATCAAAATAGTTTGATTTATAACAGATCTATAGGTTATGGAGCCGTATTTTTCTAACAAAACCGGAAGAACTAAATAAAATACTAGGTGGATAATGCATATACAAGCAGAGAGAGAGAGAGAGAGTAAGACTGCCCACAATGTATCGTTTTACCGGTGCTTGAAGAGGAGAGAGAAGGTCCAAGCACCTGTGCCGACCATTGCGAGCGATGCTGAATTCCTAGAAAAATTGGGCACCGAGTCATGTAGAAGCATCGATGCTTCAAACCTCTCTCTGGCAACATGCATGTATATGAGAGAGAAAAATGTGCACAAGAGAGAGGAAAGCTGTCTACAGTTGTTGTTTTTTACTGTTTAGTGGGTCCTACACGATGCCTGCCCATTGCAGCTTGTCTCCATCGATGCTGAGTTTCTGCTTTTAGTTTTGGGCATCGATGCACACACTGTGGCCAGTCTAATTGGTATAGGTGCAGCTAATGGAGCATATGTATGCATGTATCATGTATGTACAATATCTCCGTTCTAAATTATAAGTTATTCTATTTTTTAGATACACAATATTTTAATATATATTTAAATAATAATATATATTTAGCTGCTTAACAAAAACTATATATATACACTAGAATAACAAATACTGAGGGATTATCATGTATATTTATTTGTTAATAAAGTAGACGAGGAAGTACACGCTGTATATACTACGTGCGTCCAGATCGAAAAGGAGAAGGCAGGCAGGCAGGCATGTGATCCGGTGCGGCGAGCGAGGCGCGTGCTCCTCGTGGTCGTGGTGCATTATACAAATTTAGGACGACTGCAGGGCAACGCATCGCATCGGGGAACAATTAAAAAATTGCATAAATACGCTGCTGATAGTGAGCCACGTCGTCAGCAGGTCTCGGATCGTCGTCAACACGTCGCATGATCGATCATATTCTTTTCTGACAACCTCGCATTGCTTGCAATATACTCACATCACTAGCTAAAACACATGTACTTTTATTACCATTAACAGTACACTTTTGTTCCGATAAACACATAGTAAAAGTATATGATATATATTATGAACAAGTACGTACTTCTCACACAGATCGACTACTACTAGCTACTACCATTTTCAAATATTCAAAATCAGCACAAAAAATTATGGCAGTTTATTTTTATCAGAGTTTATAGTGGATATTTTTCATTCTACTATTCGGGAATATCATTTTATTTGTGACTGGAGTAAGCAATACATTTCATAGAGAATTTGGTGCTTCGAAATGACTCTACTTGCCCATGAAATATCTTTCTTTAGAACACGTCCATTAACCTATGTTTATTTGAGATGGTTACTCATAAAATAAAATAAAATAAATCTTACGCGAGTTCATTTTCATTTGCTCTTATTCGAATGTTTATTTTTGTTTTAAAGTGTATAGGGTTGAAAAGGATACTCTAATATGGAATCCAAAAGCGGTGGTACGGGACTTTCCTTTTTTTCATCAAAATATCTAATAAAAAACGGTTGCGCTAAATTTTTTAAACAACAACCTTCATATTTAGATAAAACATAAACGGTTAGGAAAGGTATCATAATACGGAAAACAATATCAAGCAGTATGGTATTTTCCTGTATTGTTGTCACCCTTGAAAATGTAAGCTAAAAGGGAGACATGAGCAATTAAGCAAAAAACAATTTCTTTTATAAAAAAAACTGTACAAGCCATGAATGATTCAAACTCGAGATCTTTGGGCTTAAAAACATAAGGAGTTGTACTCACAAGGCGGTTGACCCAAAATGATAAGTTATTGCCGGCTGATAAAGATAGACAATCCACTTGTACTAAAAAATATGTCTTGCAATGGCCTCAACCTCTCTGCCATATAAATATTTCATGGGTAAAGTAAGAGAACTATTTCATGGGCAAAGTAAGAGATGCCAGTGAAGAAGAGGGAAAGGTAAGCGATGGAAGAAGGTGATAAACCCCTAGAGTTTGTTGCATTCTTCTGCCCCTATCCGGTACTTGTCATACATTCTTTTGAAACATGACGCAATTCTCATATGGTTTCACTAAACCTTAACCTACCAAGTCCTGGTGCACCTTTATTTGGAAAATGTTCTATAGCACTTTACATGATTTTTTTGTTAAAACTCAGACTCAAATATCTAAGGGTATGTTTGGGAGGGATTCTTCAAATTGTTTTCCTTAGAAATAGAAGATATTATCAAACAAAAACTAATGTGGAGAGAAATTGGATAATCCCTACCAACAATATGTTATTAAGAGTGCATTTGGTACGGATCCAGATTCTCGTGAAACACTGACCATTTGGCTAGTAGGCTAGGTTCTTATAAAAATATTTTTAGAAAAAAAATCATATACATAAAAATGTACTTAAAAATTAGAATTTTCAGGTAAAGAACAACTTAAACATAACCCAATTTAACTTGTAGGAGAAAAGTCAATGAGACGGCCTAGAGAATTCTGGCAAAACTAGCCATGCTATTTCGATCCGATGAAGGAAAGGTGAAACGTTTCAGCTCCGTGAATCCCCCCGCTGCAGCTGTGCTCGGAACTGTTTATGATGCTTCTCGTGAGAAAGGTGTCTAATTGTTGCATCAAAACACACTCTCATCACAGACCAGAGGAACCTATCTCACAACAAAATCGGTTCCTATCACACAAAAATGTCTCTTCAAGAATCAACAAGACAGATGGGGAGCTAAAGTCAATACAAGAGAAACCTCCTCGCTCAAGTCTAAAGGGTAGATGCCGCCCCATGCCGTAGGCAGGCAGGCACAAGCTGAGCAAGAAGAAGCATATGCCAAAACAGAAAGAGAAGATATTTTCTCCCAGCACAACATAGCATAGCATGTGTAGCATGGCAAATTATCATCTTCGTCATTATCTGCCACCCCAGCACACCCATAATTTTTTTTTCTTTCCTCGTGTTTTTATTCCTACTACTAGGTGGCTGGGTGGGGGGGTGGAGAAATGACAAATCCAGGCCCGCAGGCAGCCACCCACCAAATCGGACGATGCAGGGTGCCCAAATCAGGAAGGATTTTAAGGTTAACCGGCTGCCACCGGCCACCGCCGGTGACCCCTCCTTTTGGACGCCCCACCCCACTCTCTCTTCTATCTATATATTACCCGCCTCTTTTTCTCCCTCCCTCCGCCCCACCTTCTTCTTCTTCTTCTTCCTCAGCTCCGTCGACCACCGCCACCGCCGGCCGCCCGCCGGAGCTCTGAAAGGCCCCTCCTTTCCTGTAAAAAACCCACCTTTAGCTACCTCTTCTCCCCATAGCTTGCTAGCTAGCTAGAGAAGGAAGGAAGGAAACGGTAGCTGACAGTTGATTGGTGGTCCGGGGTACGGTGTTCTTGAGTCGTGAAGCGACCGTACAGTGGCTAGGGCGTCTCCGGGTTGCGTGCAGGATGGTCGTCAAGGATCGGGAGTGAGGAGGCAGCTGCTCGTGGTCGTGGAGGCTAAATGTACCGCAAGAACGACTCGGCACTCTCCTGCTTATACCTCTTCCTCCTCTGGTTCTTCTTCTTGAAATGGACCAGCTCACCAGCACCAGGTAGCTACTAGCAGTAGCAGCCCAGTTGCGATTGGGGATCGGTCGCGGGCTCTCGTTTATTTGCAAGTTGGAATCTTGGAGAGGAGGAGGGAGATGGAGCTGGATCTGAACGTGGCCGAGGTGGCGCCGGAGAAGCCGGCGGCGATGGAGGCGAGCGACTCGGGGTCCTCGGAGTCGTCGGTGCTGAACGCGGAGGCGGCGTCGGCGGGCGGCGGGCCCGCGCCGGCGGAGGAGGGCTCCAGCTCGACGCCGGCCGTGCTCGAGTTCAGCATCCTCAGGAGCGACAGCGACGCGGCCGGCGTGGACGAGGATGACGCCGCCACGCCGTCGCCTCCTCACCATCACCAGCATCACCAGCAGCAGCTCGTCACCAGGGAGCTCTTCCCGGCCGGCGCCGGCGCCGGCCCGCTGCTCCCGGCGCCGCAGCATTGGGCCGAGCTCGGCTTCTTCCGCGCCGACCCGCCGCGCCCTCAGCAGCAGCAGCCGGACATCAGGATTCTGCCGCACCCGCACCCGCACCCGCACGCCACGCCGCCTGCTCCCCAGCCGCCGGTGCAGCCGCAGCCGGCCAAGAAGAGCCGCCGCGGCCCGCGCTCCCGCAGCTCGCAGTACCGCGGCGTCACCTTCTACCGCCGCACCGGCCGCTGGGAGTCCCACATCTGGTCAGTACAACTACACCCATCGCCGCCATCCTTTCACCTACCAACCAATCGCTTCTCAGTCTTGTTCTGACACAAACGTTTCCTCCTCTTCCTGTTCCTCCGAAATGCAGGGATTGCGGAAAGCAGGTGTACTTAGGTGAGCAGATTTTAACTCCAATTTGTACTAGTAATCCTTGTATTAATTTTCCTTTATTCCCTGATCTCGAATGGTCTAACCGATTCAGTGATCTGGCTGCTGGCCGATACAGGTGGATTCGACACTGCTCATGCTGCTGCAAGGTACGCACGCACAGAATTCTGCTCTGAACCCCGTACTGAATTCTGCATCATATCCACTGTTCCGCGGACTAATCAATCGCTCTTGGGACTTTCAGGGCGTACGATCGAGCAGCGATCAAGTTCCGCGGCGTCGACGCCGACATAAACTTCAATCTCAGCGACTACGAGGACGACATGAAGCAGGTCGGTCTACATGAATGTTTTTGCAACATCCACTGAAACATCTCTGCAGCTGCTGAATATATATGGCTGTCCTGTTTGGTGCGCCAGATGAAGAGCCTATCCAAGGAGGAGTTCGTGCACGTCCTGCGGCGGCAGAGCACCGGCTTCTCGAGGGGGCAGCTCCAAGTACAGAGGCGTCACCCTGCACAAGTGCGGCCGCTGGGAGGCGCGCATGGGGCAGTTCCTCGGCAAGAAGTAAGAACACTTTATTTGCAGACTGAATTATACTACCGGTTTTTCCCCCCCTCGGTATCTCTATACTTGCTGCAAATTCATCCTTGTGCCTTTCCTCTGTTAGTTCATGCATGCTATAGTCTTGATCGAGTTCATTCCTAGCAGATGAACTCCGATCCTATGTATGATTTAGTACTAGTTTATGTATTGTTCGGTAATAGCATAGGTTTGATGCATGTATGTAGCTTGATTAGTGGTTGTTTCAAAAATAAAAAAGGAATTAATAGAAAAAAGGGAAGTGGCTAGGGAATTCCTAATTCCTCACCGGTGGGAACGCCATGCTTGGGTGCAGGTACATATATCTTGGGCTATTCGACAGCGAAGTAGAGGCTGCAAGGTTGTTCATCTTGGATTCTGCCATTCACATATGCAAACAAAAAAATGTTTTTTTTTTGTTTTTTTTATCATGTCTTTTGATTTCCAAAGGGTTGAGTACCGACTCGATTCTTGTTTCTCTTCTTGTCATTCCAAAATTCAGGGCTTACGATAAGGCCGCGATCAAATGCAATGGTAGAGAGGCTGTGACGAATTTCGAGCCAAGCACATATGATGGGGAGCTGCTGGCCGAAGTTAGCGCTGACGGTAGTGGCTTGTTCATAATTGTTTTTTGCATATAATCTTCAGTTGATGTTTATAATTAGCTGATCAGCTGATGAACTTGTTTGGATTCAACCTAGGTATTATTGGCTAAACTGCCTGTTTTTTTTTTTTTTTTTTTGCTTCTACAGTTGCTGAAGTTGATCTGAACTTGAGCATATCTCAACCAGCATCTCAGAGCCCAAAAAGAGATAAGAACTGCCAAGGTCTGCAGCTCCACCATGGTTCATATGAGGGCTCCGAATTGAAAAAAACAAAGGCAAGCGCTAACTCTACCTTTTTTTTTTTGCAAATACGCTAACGCTACCTTGACAAGTATCAAAATCAGTAAAATTTTCTTCTCGAGTTTTATTGGCTACCCAATGCATTACTGCACAAAATAACCCAAGTTTCGCTCTCACCATGCTAGTGACGTAACTACCATGCCTCTTGTGGATCAAGTCCTTTTCATAGTTTACCTCCATCCTGTTTTTCTACAGCTGTTAGTGGCCCGGTTTTCATTTGATTGACCTCACAAGTCGGAATCATTAGGCAAATTATTTTATCGCATAGTTACAGGTTTCTCTTTATGGGTGATCACGACAGTTGAGCAGAACATTTTTTTTTCCTACCAAAAATGAATTGTTTAAGGAATTATAGAGCGTGGACAACTTGGAAGCTGCCGATAATTCAACTAAAATCTTTTGCTTCTGATGCAGATTGATACTCCCTCTGAGCTGTCGGGCTGCCCTCATCGGTTCCCTCTTATGACTGAGCATCCACCGGCCTGGCCTGCTCAATCTCACCCCTTCTTCACAAATCATGAGGTTAGGTGATACTGAATTACTGAAATACAGGCAGTTAAAAATTAGCTCGCTAAATCTTACAGTTCCAAGGATTGTCAAAAGTCAAAACTAGCACCGCATGGTTTCGGGTCAAATTGTTCTTGTTGTGCAAATAAATCTGGCATGCTATCGTGAGTCTTGACCATATGATGAACAAACAGATTGTGCAGTGCAGCCTGAAGGTGTACTTTCAGATATCAGATTTTTATTAGTTGGTTTCATCCAGTTGCCTTTCTTGTGCGGCTGTCAATGTAGCTCTTGTCTTGCATCGCTTGCTCATTTTCTTGGATTCTAGAGTCCACTTGTTCCCTGTCGATTTCAGTGATGTTAATGCACTGCACGATTTTTCTTATAGGATGTTGAATTTCTTAAGTTGGCCTAATATGGGAATTATAGTACTAGCAGCTTTATGAATAGAGAGTATGTACATGTGTTTGATTTTTTCCTTCAAAAGGAACATCCTAGACTGGTGACTGGTGAGTGGTGACACTTCAACGTTAGGCTAATTAAATCATCAGTCAACTATGCCTGCCGCCTGCACCCAAGAACATTTCAATAGTGTTCCTTTTCATGTATTGTCTGTTATATATACAAGTGTGGCTATTTTTTTCAAACCTTCCTTGAAAATGAAAACAAAAGATGATATACTTGGGAATTTGCCATCTTTTGTATTATAGTGCAATCATTGAACTAGTAGAAGTACTAAGTTTGCTGTTTGTTTCAAACAAAACATTATTTAATTTACCAATCAACCGGGGGTAGTTTCTTCAAATTGATAAACTCTCAAACCTTTCATGATTCAGCTAACTTTAGGGTTGGTCTCACAAGTGTCGTTTTCTGATTCTATTGGACGGAAAGTTGAGCTCGACGTTTTCTGTCCAACTGAACTGATGGAAACACTAATTTGGAACAAGTTCCAAATTAATCGAAAGGCAGATCGAGCTCCTGCCCATTTACTTTATCAGTAAACATGTATGCTGAATGAACTTCTGTTGCACCGTGCAGAGTGCATCATCGAGAGATCTTAACAGGAGGCCTGAGGGGGGTGTTCCCAGCTGGGCATGGAAGGTGACAGCTCCTCCTGCCACCCTGCCGTTGCCGCTGTTCTCGTCATCGTCATCATCCGCTGCAGCATCATCAGGATTCTCCAATACCGCCATGACAGCTGCCCCATCGGCCTCCCTCCGGTTCGACGCACCACCATCGTCGTCGTCGAGCCATCATCGCTGCTGAGAATCAAGAAGCCAGACTGTAAATCTGCCGCGAAGCTGGCATTTTTCCCCCCTCTGGGCGTTGCAACTTTTTTCGGTTTTGCGCCGGCTGGGGTGGTCTCTTGTAGTGGATTGATTGGATCTTCATAACTGTATTTGCATACTGTCTGTCGGTGTTTTTCGGACTACCGACGAGTAAATTTGTATTTGCGCGTCTGGTTCGGATGGTGTGCTCGAAGGACACAAGGGTTTATACTGGTTCGGGCGGAACATCCCTACGTCCAGTTCGTTATTGCTCGTGTTACCGGCACTTGGTTTGCTGTAGGGGTTACAAACAGGCGAGAGAGGGAGAGGATCCCAAGTCTCTGGTGGAAAAGGTAAACGGGTGCTGAGAGCTTGTTTGCCGCTTAGCCGTGTGCTTGTGTCATGCACTTGTGTTTCGGTTTCTGTCTCCATTCATGGGGCGCCCTGCTTCCCTTTTTATAGGCGAAGGGAAAGCGTGGGTTACAGCGGAGGAAGAGGAGAAGAAAAAGAGTGGGAGAGGGAAGAAGGCTTCCACGGTCGCCGGGTCCTTCTTCTCCTTTATGCGGGTCCCGCCGATCCTGTAGATGTCAACAGGGATGACTCCACGTCGCGGCCCTGTTCATCATTGGCGCCATGCGCAAGCGTCATCTGCCGGTCATGGCGTTCCATTCCATCCCGGCGGACGTCGTGGTGAACTGACGTGCCTGTCAGCATTCGTACGAGGGTTAAGCAGAACAGCACCGGCACGCCCGGCACTGTTCTTGATCTAAGTCATCAGGTATGGCCCGTCATGGCCACGGGTTACATCGAGGCGTGCCAGTCTCTTTCCTGGTGTCAGAGTTTTGACCTAAGCCCATACGTTTGGACCTAGAGTGGTTGGTGGCGGTATGGGTCCCCGTCAGACGAGACGAAAACCGCGTCTTTGGAGTTGGGCGAGACGGAGCCCGCACCCAAAGGGTCGGGCGAGACGGAGCCCGCGGCCTCGGGCGAGACGAAAACTGTATCCTTGGGGTCGGGCGAGACGGAGCTCGCACCCAAGGGGTCGGGCAAGACGGAGCACGCACCCAAGAGGTCGGGCGAGACGGAGCCCGCGGCCTCGAGGTCGGGCGCGACGGAGCCCATAGCCTTAGGGTCAGGTAAGACCTTTTAATATGTCTTGCTCCATCCAGGAAAGTCAGCGTGGGCGCTAACTTCCTTGCTTTGGGTATCCCTAATATCGATACCCGACAGTAGTCCCCGAGCGTACAGAGGAGTAGAATACTCCTTTGGAGGCTTTTTCGGACGGGAGGACTCTGAGGGCCTTGGCCTTCTTTTTTAGCCCATGGCGTGTCCTGATAGGACGGCGATTCCCTTTTGTCACGATCGGTCTTCTTGGGGGCATGTAACCGTAGGATTCAGGAGGTCAGAAAGATTTTCCTTGATTCCGGTCCCCTAGGATCCGATTGGCCCGTCGTCGTACTGCGACCACACGTTCGGTCTCCTTGCGAGTCCAACTTTCCTCGAGCCCCCGCGCGTAGCGGGGGTCTGGTCGAGGCTCGGCTCGTCTTTGTGATCGTCGTCCCTCAAGCGTTTTTCTCTCTCAATAAAACGGAGGGGCTGAGCAATGCCACGTTTTTCCTCGATGGACGAAACATGGTGCTCGGTGAACTGTTAACAGGCTAGTCTGAGTGGGGCCTCGGCTTCCCATTTGTGGGGGTCCAGCATGGGTCAGCTGGTGACCGACTTCGGATTATCAGTGGCCAATCCATATAGTTCTTGGGTCCGTTCGACCGGTCCTAAGGGCTCGTTGCCTTTCTTTGAGGAAAAACCACGGATGCCCTGGAGCGGCTATGAACCCGTCGGAGGGCCAGCCTTCGAACTCTTGGGCCTAAATGGGTCGTAGGAGCATTTTCAACTCCGTATCCTACCTTACCTGCGATGGTTCTTGGCCCATTGAACGGGCGAACCATCATCCGGTGTATCCTTCGAGGGCATGGCCAGCAATTGCGTGCGCGCGATCTTTGGAGGGAGGTGTCGTGATGCGGCGTAGCGGGCGCGTGAATCTAGGTGGATAGTTCACCTTCTCGCCCCGCTCTGCCCTATCAATAGCAGCCTCCCCCTTTGCGCTCCTGCATGCCAAAACTACAGCCTTATCTTCTCCGTTTCTCCACCGTCGCTATTCGGATCTACCATGCTTGCTAATCCACCGCCAGAGCCCTAGATCTGTAGCTTTCGCTCGTCCGCCGCCACCTTTGATTCTTCGTAGCCACCTCCATCCTCCATGGATTTATGGTACTGCTCCAATGTTACCCATGCGCGCATGGAGGGCCTCGTCAAGCGTGGTCTTCTCCGTGGGAGGACCGATGCGGCGGAGTGGCTTGTGCCCGACCGTGAGGATGCGCAGGCGCCGCCCGATGGCTACGTCGTCTCCTTCGTGCTCTTCCATGAACATGGACTCGTGGTTCCTCCCCACCCGTTCTTCTAGGTCTGCTGCACCACTATCAGATCGGGCTACAGCACTTGAACCCCAACGGGATCCAGCACATCGTGGCCTTCAGGGGTACCTGGGGATCGACCCCCACTTCGGGCTGTGGAGGTATTTGTTCTCCATCTCCCTAATCAAGAAGAAGGAGAGAGGCCGAGAGACCCCGGTGCGATGGGATGCGCGGGTATCCACCTCCGGGGGCAGCGGGCGGCCGAGTACATGCCCTGCCAACTCTCCAGATCCAACAAGGGGTGGCACTCACATTGGTTCTACCTAAAGAACGACCCAGCCGCACCCTTGCTGGTCTTCTCCGGGCGTCTGATCGAAGAGGTTCCACCATCATGGCCGTGGGGGCCACCCGTCAAGGAGAAGAAGAGGATGCACGACCTCCTCAAGGCCATCCCATTCTTGAAGATCCACGGCCTCGGTGGGGCCAGCGTCATCAGGGGGTATCACGCGAGGAGGGTGGTGCCGCTGATGGCGCGTGTCCTCCCGCTGTACGGGATGACGCCCGGCGCGTAGCTTGTTGGGACGATGCTCGCCCAGGGGTTGCTTCACGACCGCGAGGTCGCACAACGCATCAAGGTGGCCACGGGGGAGGCCAACGTCGTGTTACCGATCCCGGGGCATCCTGTGATGCGATCGGATGTGGGCTTCATCGAGCTACCGATGGGGTTAGCCTTCCGAGATTCTATCGCGCTGCTGCCAAAGCACACGACTATGAGGGCGGTGAACCATGCCGCGGATGAACAAAGGAAGAAGAGGAAGAAGGACGACGAGGAGAAGAAATGACGATCGAAGCAGCGAGCAAAGCTGCAGCGTGGGAAGCGGCGCCAAGGCTCGTCGGAAAAAGAGGAGGAAGAAGAAGAAGAGGAGGAGGTGGATGACGACTCCATGTTGCCTATCCCGTGGGACGATCTGGCTGCTAGGGACGGGGACCCACCTTCACCGTAGGTGGGGCCCTTCCTGTGGCATGTCATGAGGTAGGAGGGGGAGGACGCGCCCCCGGAGCCAGCGGAATCAAATCACCCCGCCCTATTCGGACCTTCGACGGTGCCTCTGGAGTTGGCGGGAGGCGGCCGTTCTGATTCGTTCGAGCCCTCCAAGCCGAGGGAGGGCTCAAAGCGGCAACGTGCCAACGAGGAGCAGCCGGGGTCGGGCAAGCCGGCCCCAAAACACCCTCGTATGGCGGCGTCAAGGTGAGTAAGGAGTTTTTTGTCATCCTTTTGTCCTAATGAATTTTTGTCGCGAACTGACCACCATGTGCCTTGTAGCGTCGGAGGACGTGGGACTCTCGTGCGGCTTGCCCCGAAAAAGATCCTCCTCCGGCAAACGCGCCCGGAGCCGGCTGGCGCCGCGCTGGTGGGCGTGAGTGGCGTCGGGGCAGCCACGACATCAACCGAGGAGGCACAGCTGATGGCTGCATCCATGGGAGAGCAGGCAGAGGAGGGCGCGTCTGGGGCGTCCGTGGCGGGTGCGGCATGGCCGGTCGTGTCCTCGACGTCGCAGGGCGCGCACGGACGCCGTGGAGGCCGAACGGCTTTGGAAGGAGCGGGATGATTTGCTCCGGGCCATAGAGGAGCTCCGCACGGGGATTGAGCTGGCTCGCTAGGAGCACGTTGACGCTCAGCAGCGGGTCGGCCACCTCGAGAATGAGCTCTGGAGGGAGAGGGTCCTAAAGGTTGCAGCCGAGGGCGTGTCCGCTGGGCTCGCCGCTGAGGTCGGGCAGCGCCAAGAGGAGGTCCGGTGCCTGGAGGCTGAGGTGATCCGGCAGCGTGATGAGGTGCGTAGGCTTTAGGCGGATGTGCACGGTAAGTCTCTGGTTCCCCTTGTTGTCTTTCTCCCTAGAATCCGTGGTAAGCCTTTTGAAACAGTCGGTGCATGACTTGGGCAGGCCTCGATGACTAGCTCGGGACGGAGGTGGTGAAGAGCCATGGCCTGGAGAAGGAGCTCAGCGAGGTAAAGGACACCCTCCAGAAGGATAGCGACGAACACGACAACCTGCGTGTCGCGGTCTAGCTGGTCTGCGACGAGCTCCAGCTAGCCTCGGATCAGGAGACAAGCTCGCTCACAGTTCATGCCACCCGGATCATAGACTGGGCATGTGATATGGCAAGGAGCGTGCTTTGCTTTGGCATTCACCGATCATTCACGATCGCCCATTCTCATTATGAGAACATCGATCTGGCGACGATGAGCCAAGGCTTCGCTCCCATCTATACCGACGCCGAGCTGGACGTCATTGAGAAGGAGGTGGCCCCCCTGGCGCATGACCTTTCTACCAAGATAGAAGTTGAAATCATCCCCCCGAGGAGTTAGTTTAGTCAGATAGGTCAGTCGGTGCACTTGTAATAAGCGGACAAGTTCCAACCCTTCTGTTTCGTCTAAACAAGCTTGTTTTCTCATTTTGGATGAACAAATTTGTTCTTTCTCCCTTTTTATGTGTGAAAAGGGTTAATGCATTTTGACCCTTCCTGTTGTTTAAGACTATAGAGCTCGAGGTGAGGGCGAGAAACTCTGGTCACACTGGTAAG